GTATCTTAAACATAGCGATTAATAAGAGCTAACTGACCCGTCACAGCAATGAGCCGCAGTGATGACATAGTTGGCGTCCCTCAGCGATCCGCCGCATATGTGACTCTTACCGAAGATGCCCTGGGAGTTCAACGAAATCTGCCAGGGTGCCTCAGTGGCCGTGGCCGGGCGCCCACCTACCACACGGCCGCCCACGCGGCCGCGAACGCCGCTCCCCACCGGCGGTCCCATCGGAATGTAGGCCTCGGCCACCATCGCCACCACTGCCAGCACTGCCACTACGGTCTTCATTATGTGTCAGATGTCGTGTCCAAACACTTTCTCCTCGACACTCATTTCGCTCTCTTTTTATACATTAGTTTTCGTCGAGAATCTCACGTCAGATGTTATATCTGTTTATTAAACCATTCATTTGGTTCGTACCAGTGATGGGGATCATAATGTTTAGGTCAACCCAGGGATGATTGTTATGAGTGAGTGATTGGTGGTTTGCAAATGTTTATAAAGTTTATTTTTATCAATTTATTAGCAATGGTTTTAAATTGATTTTTTAAGAGTTTAGTGATTAGTTTAATAATTTTTACTAATTAATATGCTAGGTTTACCGGTTCACCCACTTATGTATGGACCCCCAAAAAGGGAGTAATTAGTTTGTAATTTTTATAATTTATAAAGATAAACTAATTGTGCTATTATTTTTAGAAAGTAAACTTTATCCCGGATTTTATCTAAATTAATTGCAATAAAATAATTTTGTGTTTATGTGTCAATCGTTTTTATTAACTTTCGAAATGTTACACAAATGTGATAAATTTTTCATAATAAAAAAACTAAATGTTTTTGTGAAAATATGAATAATATCAGAGTGCACATGATCATTTAAAATTTAAATATGATATAATTTGGATTTTAAATTAATTTTGAAATGTAACATTTAAATATGTTTTAATATTATTTTTTGTATTGTGAAATTTTAATTGATAAAAGTTTAATTACTTTTAACTTGTGATTTATTATGAACGATAATTATCATATATAAGTGTGGTCATATTAATGACGTATATACTAATTAATAAAATAATATAAGATATTAAAAATATTATGTTATAAAATAATCTTTATCGTTTTTCTAATTTAAAGGTTACATTAAAATAATGCAATATTGATTTTCTACAATTTTAGCATGGAATTTTCATATACTTAATATAAATTTAAGTATATCTTATTTTTAAAAATTATTTTATTTATTTATTTAATAATGCTTAAGGAAATCATTATTAAAATAATTTATTTAATTTTTTAAAATAAAATTAATAACTATTAAATACTATTTTCATTGTGATAAGAAGTGTTTTATTTTATTGTATATGGGTTATCATTATAAAACATAATAATAATGTTATCATTTAATATATTTATGTTTATACTTTTATATACAATATTTCTTATAGTTAGTAGAGACGTTTACCAACATAAAACAAATTAATATATATAATCAAATATGATATAAAACTTATATATTACTAATGTTTTCAAAGTATTAATTATAGCATAAAACAAAACTTGTCTTATATTCAAAATACCTTTCTATATTTTCAATCAATCATATTTATAAAACAGTATGTACTTTATAATATATAGGTAATGTAAAATTACAAGTACACAAGTACACTAATGAAAATAATTACAATTATAAAGGCAAATATAGATATGTTATCTTAAATACCTTAGTATCAAAAGTTTAAATTCTTTATACTTTTTAACAATCAATTTATATGATATTAGCTATTAAGGTCATTAACAAATTGCAAATACAAAAACATTTTATACTGGATTACTTAGTTTTTCTGGTAAACTCTTTTTGACAATACTGGAAATACAACACCAAAAGCAAAAGGAAAATACCGGTGCCCAACATTAATATTGCTATAACATCGCAAATTATGGGCAACCACTTCACAATTAATTTTATTTTGCTTCTCATATCACTATCCATATCCACCTTAATATCAACCCAGAGTTGAGGGTAGTATAGCTCCTTATGAGCCAACCCTACCATAGCCGGGGTATCCGACAGATTAAAGTTTTTATTCTTCTCGAGCAATATATTAATCTGTAGTTTAGCGCTGGCGCTCATAGGTATGCCTAAGTTGGGCTCAAAGTCCATATAAAATGAATGCCTGTCCTCATTGGGGGTCAAACCGTGCACCCATTGCCTTAACAATCGGTCGCCGTGTAAAAAGTGCGGATAACTAATAAATACCGGCGCGTCAAACGTACACGATGATATATTGGCTATCCCACTAGGCGGACATTGTGGGGGTCTGGGGGGTTTATGAGGTCTAGGGGGTGGTTGTTGGCAAAAGCATAGATTGTCAGGGTGTTTATAGTCAAATAGGTGGGGCCCACCCGTATACCTCATGCAGTCTATGCCATCATTTTGCACGTCGGATAAGTAGACCAGTTTGAAGGAGCGGCACATTTCGCCCACAAACACATCTATGGGGTCCGTGGACTCAGTCATCTGATAGGGGGGCCGGAAGTCACCGGCGGTCGAGTAGTCAAAGCGATCGCAACGGCTGTGGTTCTTGTAGTGACCGATAGTCCGGTTGTGTTTCCAACGGTCCATAAAACCGAGTTTCTTGATGTCCGTACTGCCGGTGAACATGTTGTACACCCCTTCCGGTGCGCTATTATTGCGGCCGATAAAGTAGGCGAACCTGTCGTACGGTATATCCCAGAAGCCCCGGGCATCGGCTATGATGGGGTCGGGCCAGCCGTCAAACATCAGTTCAAACACATTGTGCTCTAAAAATATGCGACAGTCGGTGCTCTTATCTGTACATCCCAAGTTGATGCTGTTGTACATAAAGGGCTGGTATTGCGGCGTAAACTTCTTGCTGATGAGGTTAAGGGCCGTCAGTATCGCCACATTCAGGTGCGTTATGCGGTCGTTAGGGCTGAGCCCGGGGCCCGACTTATCCGCCACGAAATGGTAGACCTTTTTCTGCTCGTAGGCTACCGTTCCGTTCGCGTTGAACGTAATGTTATGTTTAGTCCGGTGCTCACTGAACACGTACGGACCCAATTCCTTGAGTATAGGGTCGGCCCCTTTGAGCACCTTAGCCGCGTTGGTCGTGTTGAACAGGTATATGTAGTAAAAGACGGGAATGGGTACGTCCTTCCAGAAGTCGTAGGCGTATGAGTCGGATGAGAGTACCAGTGCTTTCTTGGTTTGCCATTCAATGAGATCGTCGTAAAAGTTGTAGAAAAATATTGAGGCCCCGATCAGTATAAAGCCAATAACTGTGCCGGTTATTAGCTTTTGTGTCCGGGTACAACAGTTGCACATTGTTTTTAATGTTATGTTTAGTTCATAAAAATTAAATTTTCATTAAATTTGGCATTAAAATTAAATACACAAAACTTATCAAGATTAAGTTTTATATTTAAATACTAAACAATGGTATATTAAACATTACTTAATTAAGTAATCTCACAAAAGGTTACTGATGAATATTTATATAATTTATAGTTTTTAAACAAAAACATTATTGTGATATTAGTTACGTATTTTAGATTATTTTGTTAGAAACAATAAGGAACATGATAATTTATAAAGTCATGGTTAAAAGTATTAGCTAGTATCATCTTGAGATATAAATAAAACTTTGTAATTGTTATCAAAGTTATAATACGATTAACTTAGACAATAACAATATATACCGGTAATATAAGTTTCTTAGAATATAACTTAATAGTTTCATTGACTGCATAAATGAGTTTATTTTCAATAATGTTGATATTTAATATATAATTGTTAAATTAATCTCTAAATGTCAATTTTTACACATTACGTTAGATAAAGCAAAAATATAGATCTTTAATTATGTATTTTTATAAATAAAGTTAAAACAAAATTATAAATTGAATGCAAATATTAATCAATTAAGTTGAAATAGTTTACCATACTTGAATAACTTACTTGTTAGAAATACAGTATTAAAAATTCTATTACCGCATTATGCTCACAAAATTATGTTTTCAAAAGCTATGAAATTGCTACAATTTAGTGACTAAAATAGTAAATATTAAAATAAATATTTGTTGTAATATGCTAAATATTAATTATAACTAATGTATAATGCTCTAACTAATATTTTTAAAATTTTAATACGATATAAAACAGTGTTTAAACTATTCCTAAAATAAAACATAATTTAATTTTTTTATAAACAAGATTCTGTAATGTATTACAGTAGTGTATATTAATAAAGAATTTGTTTGTATAACATATTCTTAGAATTTGAATTCTGTAGACAAATGTTTAAATTTATAAACACTTTTGCAGCTAATATTAGAATTGTATACATATTTTAAGTAATGTTTAAAATCTGTAAAGTGTTTCAAGTCTTACAGTATTTCTTATTCAGTGAACCATTCATTTAAATACATTGTGAGACAAAATAACATCTAAAATGAGTTCAAATTTTAAGTGTAAAAAGTGGACTCTATTTACCATAAATCTCATAACTATATTGCTGATCTTGCTGGTCATTATTATGTTACTCGTTTCACATTATAATCATAAGAAAAATTACCTTGATTATTCCTATGATAAGGCGACTGATGGAGACTGGGTAATTAATTAGTTAAACTCAATCGATATTATCATGATGTCTTGGCGATTTTATATATTTGTAGGCCATCTGGATGCTCGTGGTAATTTTCAGCATCATCGCAATAGCAATCGAGTCGACTGGCCTAATAGGCGCCTATATGGAAAGCTATTGTCTATGTATGACATACTGTGTTATATTGTGTTTTCTATCCGTACTATCGGTGGGAAAGGTGTTTGTGAACCCGCGATATATCGGTTCACTTCTGTATAACCTGTGTCTGTCATATCTGGCCTATTCACTGGCCATGGATTGCGAGGAAAATCGTAAGGAGGGTCAGGTGCGGATCGTCCACTCAAATGGTGTGAACAACCCATTCACCCGTATCGATGAGCCCTCCACTCAAAATTCAACCAAAAATTTAACCTATGCTTTGGTTTGAAACTATTTGCTATAAGTTTTCATTTGAATTTTATTCAAACTATATTTCTAATATTTTTGCTTTTATTTTTATTTATTTTTTTAAATGCTGATATTATATTTTTCATGGGCAAATATTTAATGTATCAGGCACGATAATAAATGTTAAAAATATAAATGTAAAATTATATGTCTATAAAATAAACAAATATTGTAAAATGCATAAATCTATTTCTAATATTAGTATATTTTTGTTAATTATTTGCTTATGAATATAATTATAAGATTACATGGCTAATTTTCATATCTGTTTAATAATTAATTAAAAATATATTTTAAAAACTAACATGTAACTGTTTAAAAATCCATAAATCTAATTCATTAGAATTGTATTATACAATTTTTAATGTAATTAATAGTTATGTTATTCATGTAAATGTGCACTGATAATTTTATTATATCATAGTGAAATATAAATACTTATGTCGTTCGACATTGAATATTTAAAATATAAATATTATTATTATAAAAAAATAATTTGATAAATATATTACGAGACTAAATATGCATATGAATCATAAACAAAAATTATAAAATATTAATTTATAATTTAAAACTATTCATGATTAATAAATATTATGCTTTCATTTGCATAACACATAACCCGATGAAACTGTAATAATTTCACACATAATGTAAACAGAGTTTATTTTTATCACTTCATGGACTTTGTGTTATCAGTAATACTGTAATAAAGTGTTAAATCAAAAAGTATTTCATTATTTCACGACAACTGAAACACGCTTTCATTAAAACAAAAACCATTTTTGTGTCCATTATTTCACACAAAGAGTCACTAAAATGAGTCCAAACTTTCAGTGCAAGAAGTGGACCCTTTTTGCGGTAAATGTGATCCTGGTGCTACTCACCATAGTGGCAGTCAGTGTAATGCTGACCTATGTATTGGCCCAAAAGGACACCTCAAACACGGATACCATTTATTATATCAATGATGACCACAAGCAACTAGGTCAAATCGCGGTAAACACTTTATGAACTGCTTAACTACCTTGGTAACTCATGTATTTCAACGTAAACCCCCTATTCTTGAAGTACCCCTCGATTCTGATTATCGGCGGCACTGTGGAGGTCGCGGTGCTGGCTATGGGAGCGGTGGGCGCCTATAGGGAGTCCTACTGCCTATGCATGGCTTACACTGTAATACTGGCCATTTTTGCGGTCTTATCCCTGGACGAGGTGTTTGTGAACGTACGGTATGTCGGGATGTTGGTCATAAACCTGGCCCTCGCATACCTGGCCTTCTCGTTCGGCACCGATTGCAGACTCAACGCCCGCACTACCAGTCCTACCAGTCCTACCGGTGCGGTCGGCGCTCACAACCCGTTCATTGTGTTGGACGAGGAGTCCAATGAAAATCTCACCAAAAACTATAATATGGTCTAAAAGTTTGAGTTTTTAATTTGCGCTCAAACTCTGATTTTTGCTTAATTTGATTATCATTAAGGTTGTGAAATGTGTTACTTTTAATTACCTTTTGCCTAATTAATTATACTTAATTACCCGATCATAACGCCATCTATTAATGAGTGATAGACTAGTGAATCATAAGTTTGTTATAAAACTCAATAATTTCAAGAATGATAAGAATATTCTGATTGTGATCACCAAATGTGATGTTAATTCTGATGGCTTTTATACACATTTAATTTCAATGAAAACTAAT